CATCTGGAATAAAGTTATAGGTGAATAAAAAAGAGCATGATAGCAATCACCAGAGTAATCACAAGCTGCTGCAGCACCCCTTGGAATTTTCTTTTTTATTATTCAGGCAATGTAAACTACCCTGCATGAAAACATTTAGGTGCAGAGTTACCCTAGGATCTGGGAGTCATACACTCAAACACAGGAGAATGTATTAGAGGAAGGCAAATGAAGGAGGAGGAGATGGATGTATTGGCCATGCAGCTGAATCTTTTCCGTTTACAGTTTGCTAGGTCAGGCCAGAAAGACAGTTGGTCCACTAGGACGTGCTTCTGGCTTTTTCCAAAAGGACGCACTAGGTAGTAGCATTGCGTTTAAGCAATTACGATGTATTTAATCAAGCGTTCAGACAGGGAAAGTATAAAGCAAGGTTTTGCATAGCACTATAAAGTTTCTTTTCTATTTTAGTGGGAGTATTTCCAGAACGTATACTTTTATATTTACCTATATTTACCTATAACCTGCCTTTGGATGTGATGGGATTTGGATCTTTTTACCTAAAGATGCCTGTTTAAATCGTGCATCAATTGAGATTGAGAAAAATTTATGGCTACCTGATCCTTGTTTGGAAGTCTAGTACATTCAGTTTCTCTTGCACAGAATAATTACCAGATTGGCAGTAATTGGTACTCGTGGGCAGACTCAAGACAAAGAATAAACACTAACTTGGCATGGAAATAGAGCTACCCTCTGAGCCTTATTTTGTTTTCTCCAAAGTACTGTGACTTATTCATTAGCCACAGTACTTTGTTCATTCTTGCATGAGTAGCATAGAGTGAGCCTCCCGTGCAGTTGCCCCGTGCTGTACCTGTCCCGTGAACAAAAGAGAACATTGGTCTCCATTGCTCAGCTTGATGTCTCTTACTGTAACTGAATTCACTCAAAATTATAGAAAAGAAGTTTATGTGTTCTGTTTTGATCTTCTTGTTGAGCTTCTCTGGCAGTTTTCCCAAATCAGACTTTTATGGGCAATATAGACATTGTCAAATAAGTCAGATTTCAAACAGAAATGCCTTCATGAGACTTGGATTTCATTTTGTAACATAAATTGGACTTCAATAAAATACAGTTTTTACAGAGTAGTTACTTTAAAAGTTGCATCATTTTAACGCATCATAAACCAGAACTAGTTGTACTTTCCCCCAAACAATTATTTCTGTCTCTTCACTGTGGTCTCAGCTGTGATCTGAGTACACATACGCTAAGGAAATCTGAACAAAAGGAATAACTAAAGCAATCAGTGCCTGTTCATGTTATCAGATCTAGATGCTAAGCTGTTTTAAGTAAGTTACTGGTGTGTTTGATACTCTTCATATTTAAATAGAAACTGCAGCTTGGAAACTCCCTGTGTACTTAATTTGTTAAATTCCTTATGAACTTCATTATACTGACCTTCCAAAATGCAAAATTTGGTTAAACTTCTTCAGAGTTTCATGGCAGCAGTATTTCAGGAAAGCTTTTATGTTGTGTTTTTGTTTTCCTTTTTTTACACACAAAATCAAGGTTAAATTAATTGTAGGACATTGAAACCAGTCCTCTCTGCTTGAAGGTAAAAAGCCATACAGTTACTTGAGGTCACATGTAGTACTTTGTTCAACTGCTTTTGTTCTCGTTAGACCTTTTGAAAGAAATGTTGTCCAACTTAAGAGAGTATTCACTAGCCTAACTCTGTAGATCCTACACTTCTTTTCTTTCCATTTTTCACGGCAATGTGTGATTGTGAGAGGGGACACATTGGGACAGGGAGAAATGGTGACTGGAGCCTGCTGTGCTTCATCTGTCCTTACCTGGATAGCACATAGTCCCTTGTGGCTGGTAGCCAGCTGACGTGTTTGAGCGGCCCCTGAGTCTTGGGCTATTGCTACAGCTGGCTCTGGACGGTCTGGGACAGCAGTCTGGAATAGGCGAGTCCTTCTTTTCAAGGCATGTGAGTAGGCTCAGCCACAGCCCATCTGGTTGCCACGCAGCAGAGTACTCAGCAACACTTTTTCATTCCTTCCTCTGCTCTGCTGCGAGCTACCAGGGGAAAGCTTTTGAACATTTGGAGGTGCAAAGGGGAAGCAGCTGCTGAGAGCTCCAGGTTCCCAGAAGAGCTTCTCTCTGGGCTGCAGCAGCGAGGCAGATGGAGAGCTGAAGCCATATTCCCTTCCCTAGTGAATGAGATGATTCAGACGTTTCAATTAAAAAATTGCAGGACATTGTCAGGGAACACATTTTTGATATACGACAAAACTTTTTTTTTTTTTTTAACATAGTCACTCTTAATGTTGTAACTTAGAACTCAGGGACTACAGAAATTACTGTAAATTCATGTCAAAGTATAGGACAGAAATGTATGGATCTGCAAGGACAGAACCTGCTTGTTTTGTAGCAGAAGTGTGAAGCACTGTGTTGTTGGGAACAGAAAAACAAGAAAGGCTGAAGAGATCATAAAATGTTGAGAGTCAACAGTGCAGAGAAGGGAAGGGTTGATGATGGGAAGTGATGGTACAGGTACGGTTGTACAACTTAAACTATTTTTCATATGTGGCATGTAAAACTTCTGATTTTCTGCAGAATGTATGATGTAAAAGTAATGATTTATGGAGAATCAGCTGTCCTGATGCAAGGTAATTAATCACTAGAGTAGGATGAGACTCACAGTCCCTTTGCTCTGGAGTTAGTTACCTCAACACAGTGCTTGCCACTAATGTCTGTTCTTGTAGACAAAATCCATTTATTTTATAAACTGGATAAACAACCAACTGACAACCATCTATTTTTTTAGCAAAATGAACAGTTTTCATATAAGTCTCCTCAAAAACCTCTTTCATCATGCTGCTGTTCAACTGATTTTGCCCAATGTCTGACTTACAATTTTCAAGTAGTCTTTTTCCGTATATATTTTCTGGTTTATTTTCACTGCCTACTGTGTGTCATATTGCTCCATTCCTAGCGTTAATTCAAGATCAATTGAGGTTTGAATGAAGTATTTACAATAATGCATGCTTGGCATTCTTGAAGCTTTAATTCTGCTTTGTTTCTGGCAAAAATGAGTTTGGAAGAGGGACAAAGTATCATAATTAAAGAAACTGTATTTTAATTCTTAAGAGAACAGCATGGTTTCTTTGATGCTGACATGGTTATTTCAGCATAGTAAGTGAGAGTGTCTCTTGCCTGTGCGACGTTTGACTTAAGTGGAAATGCTTTTCCCAAATTTATAAACTTATTTGGAGGAATCGGGGCAGATTTTTGATTTAGATGTCTACATATTAGCCAGTCAATGTAGGTCCTCATCATAGACCTTTGCAGAGAAACCGCATTTCTACAACATGATCCATCCCTTCCTAAGGTAGACAGCTAGGTGGCAGAGATAATTGCACTATACGGGTGCTTGTGCCTTTGTGTTAACTATAAAGGGAGTTGGAGATGACCAGCTCAGACGCAGATGTCTAAAGTTGGATGACATAAAGCGAGAACAGTTGAAAACTTTGATGATATTGTGTAACACTAAGAGAAAACCGACCTACTTTGCCTGTGCAGCCAGACTGCTTGATCTCATTTTGATCCTCAGTTGTGTGTGCTTTTGGTGCTGGGAGAATTCACAAGTCATGCGGAAGCGTTAGTTTTACAGACTGCGTTGTAGGGAGCCTGAAGGTCTAAGAAAGTGGAATCCTGTACTTTGATGAAGAAGATATTTTAAAAATTTACTTTAAATGTACAAATATGTTGTGATATTTTTCAGGGTGGAGATCTGGACTTTAAAATTCAAGAATACAAAGAATCTGGGAAGATATTCACTCAAAGACAAATAATAGACTGGTTTATACAGTTGTTGCTCGGAGTCAACTATATGCATGAAAGGTACAGTCATTTAATATGAGAACAATTATTTTGGGAGGGGTGTGAGTAGACTTACTGACTAGTTGCAGATATTCAAACAGAAACAAAACTTTAAGGATTGTCTTGTATTGTTATGAAGTCCTGTTCACCAAACTGCTGTAGTATATGTCATATACCTAAAGTGTAATTAATTGTCTATCCTTCAAGAACATTGCGTATTACATCTTTTAGCAGCACAGTGGTAGATGTCTTTCAGCATTAGACAAGCTTTTTCTAAGGGCCAACAGAAATAGTTTAATATTGTTAGAAGAAAATGGATCAAAAAGCTAAAACAAAGTCAGCTTTTTCAAGGGGAGTCAACGAGAATCTCTTGCAGGTATTTAATGTGAAGAATCCAATATATATGCTTGATGTACTCCCACTAAAATCAATGAAGTTACATACATACAGTCTTTGAAAACAGACACCACTTTTAACAGCACGTCAAAGATTAACGTAGAAAATTCTGCACGTCATCCAGACAGTGAAGTGTGGAAATCACGCTTGGTTTGAGCAGGGGTGGAAACAGGTGAATACCTACCTGGTCATCTCCATGGGTGTTGTTCTTACCTGCAGTGTGATTTAGGCAGGCTGACCTCAGTGATGTAAACAGTTCCCTCATTGCCAGCGTACTGGACATGTGCATGAGCCCTGTCTGGTCCCCTTCCCGCCTCATCCAGTGCTGTCGCCTTTGAAGTAGGTGGGACTATTTGCATGGTATGAAGGGAGAGCGAGGGGTCTGCTGAGCCAGGAGCAGAAGGCCCAGCACGCTGCCATCTGCATTGAGAGCTGGAGGACTGGCCGAGCAAATGGAACACCAGGCTCCTTTCCAAGCGCCTTTTCAGAAACAGTGAGCTGCTCGAAGTTAACCTGGCTTCCAACATCTTCTCCTTTCCTCTCTCTCCTCCCAGTTGCTTTTGCCTATTGGCAGCTCTGAAATGTCAGATTAATGAACAAGACAGAGAATCCTTTCTAAAGAGCATTGTAGCCCAAAAGTCCGAGATTTTTCATCCTGCTAAGCTGAACTATTTAGACTATTATTCCTATTGAACTTTTAGAAGTAAGAATGTCATTGCTGTAAGGACTGTCTTAGCAGAGGCTAAGGATGTTTGTCTGTAATCACCTGCATGTATTGGGGAGGTGAGCTAATCTGCCTAAACTAATGGCCAAAATTATTAATACAGCCTGGGGGGAGAAGATGTTTATGCTTGAGGAGTAGGTTAGACCCAGAATCTGGAGATGAGAATTTAGGTGTTTTTTAAAAACTGAATGTAAACTAGAATCCATAGTCTTCTATCCTGAGCGAGTACTCAGAAAACAAGATTTTGGTGAAAGCACCAAATTGATGTAGCTGCTTCATATATCTTTCACCACAGGGCTTGGGCCAAATTGCCTGAACTTGAGTTGCAACAGCGCGGTTGGTAGAGATAAGTCAGCTGTCAACAAGAACAATCATTTCTGAGTTGAGCTGAAGCTAAGTATGTGGGATACGTTTGACCTGAACTGATAGATGCCTGATGAGTTTTTGCACCTACAGTGTCAGACTGTAGAGGGAAAAGGGCAGAGTGAATTCCTGTCCAGGATGCAAGAGCATTTTGGTTCCCAAGTGCCAATTTATCTGGGGCTTGTACATGAAGTGCTGCCCCTACAGAGTGCAATGACGGGAGCACGGCGAAGAGAGCTCTCTTGGGATGCTGCGCTCTTCAGCATTCACCTCAGGCCAAAAGGACAGAGGGAAATGGAAATAAAAATCCTGACCGTTTAACTAAACTAGCAGTGTGGTGGTTTGCTTTTGTTGATGTTTTGTTTTGGTTTGTTTGTTTGTCGTTTTTGTTTTTGTTTTCTTTCCCCTGAGCTCCAATTTAACAATGTATCATTGAAAGTTTTGGTAATCTGGAAAGTCCACTTTTGGTGAAATCCTTTCTTTAATGTATGTGTTTAGAGGATGCATTGTGCAGACTAATGCAGAATAATAATAGTAATAACATTGCATTTGGACTAGATGTTCATTGTTAGGTCCCTTCCAACTGAACTGTTCTATTCTGTTGTGTAAGTTATTCTTTTTATCTTTCATTTTCTGTATTTCCTCATGCCTCTTATCTCTAGTTTTCCCATACGTCCCTTTTGTCTACTCTTCTTTCTATTTTTCTCACCTTCTACTTGTTCTCAAATAAATCTTAAAAAAAAATAATCTTATAAATAAGCATTCTTTGGTAAATATGTATATTAAATTACTGGGTTTCCTGAAAAGTCTGATTCTCCAGTGAAAACAGCGATTTGATTTTCCAAACAGCATTTCATTTTCTCTCTTTGAATCATAGCTATTTAATAGCACCTCTCCCAGACACATACAAATGACTTGACAATTTATTTTTATTTACACTTCCTGTATTGTATTATGTGTTATTTGACTGTATGCACAGCCAAACAGTAGCTTAAATGGAAAAGGTTAGGCTTAAAAGAATTTAAAACTACTTACAGAAATTAATTTGAATTGCTGAAATGTGGTAACAGCCTTCTGTTTATGTATAGAGTAGTCATACGTGATTTTTTTCTCTACTGATATGGAAAAAAGCTGTAACATATGTTTGAACTACATTCTAACGCAACAGAAACTTTCCTTAGAATTAGAAACTTGAAGTGTTCATTACCTGTGGGTTGGAATTCCTTGTGCCATTCCTTAGAAAATCCAGCTACTCTGGGTGGGAGTTTTTGTTCCAGAGCAGCAAAAATCATTATTTCTGGTTTTAGACATAGACTATTCACTTGGTTATCCTTCTTGCACAGGTTTAGTTGAAATTCTGCACTTTTTGAGAACCCTTATACTGGAATCTTATTTTAAAACAGGACTTTTTTTCTGCCTCAGATTGTTTTTCTTTTCCTGTGGTAATAAAGATTATACAGATTAGTCATTCCTGTTTTCTACTTATGCTTCATAAATCCCAAAGAGGGCACAAATATCTTGTGGTCATTACGCTATCTACTGACTATTTTGCATAATTTGAAGGATTTTTTAATTTTAAACTTGAAAGCAAAATTACCTAGAGTTGAATAGATTCAATCCTCATCTGTCATTGACAGAACCAGAGAGAGAAGTAAAGGAGAGGCAGCATAATTCAGTGGTCTTGTCTAGATGGAGACAGCATGAAGCCATCATCTGGTCTCTCTGGCATACTTGTAGCCCATCACACATCAGTGCACAACATTGACCCCGCAACAATCAGGCAAAGTGGCCATCGATTGATTTAACCTCAATTTGAATAAAGCTGACCATTACGTTACCACCGCTTTGCTAACCTTTATGAACAATACGCCAACACAGAGATTTTTATAAGGTTACCGTGTGTGCGAACAAATCTGTTTCTTTCAATCTACAGGATAGCAGGCTTTGCTCAAGTACTTTATCTGGATTTCGCGTTGTCTTCGCTGGTACAGGATTGAGACTTATCCAGAACCTCTGACTTCTCTAAATAGTTCTTCAGAAAGAGGAAAGATAAATTAATTGCTGAATATTTTGCAGCAGTAAACTACTTCAGCTTCAACCAGCTTCCCTTGCTGGTATGTTGCAGAGGAAGTTTTATTCAAGGAGGCTGCCCACTGCTCAGTGCTTTGTGCTGCTTTTTTAATGACTATAAGACAGCAAGCAGGTAGTCTATAGAACATAGGTATGGGTATATTTATAGCCCAAATTTGAAACTATCCTTAAGTGTTCATTTCTACCCAAAATATCAATAACCACTTCACTGACTGTCAAGTTAGATTAAGTTTTGCTGGAGCACTGTTAATTCATGTTACCTTTATAGGTCTGTCTCTTGCTACAACTGAAAGTCACACTCGTTCTTAAACTGCATTTACAGTGCAGGCTCAATATTTATTTCTTGTTAGAATTAAAGTGATGGTTTCAGCTTGTAACTTGTTTATCTTCTGACATATCCTGGCAGAATAAGGTGGCTTGCATCGAGAGACATCATCATGGGAAGTTCCAAAGAATCACCCCAAGTATTTCTTAGTCATATTAATATATAAAAGCATCTTATAATTATTAGTAATGCAAATAATGCGTATAACATTTTGATCAATATGTTGCAAACTTATATGAGCATTATATTCTAATTCAAACTGGTGTGACCCAGATGTCTTCTCTTGATCTTCTTTTCAAATAATGTGCTACTGAAAACTTTCTGGGTAGTTTTTATACTTCAAGATACCTGATATTTAAAGTATAGATATCCAGGAAACTTTTAGGTTCGAAGAGTCCATGGTTATGTTTCTACAAAGTAATAATAAAAGAAAAAGTTTAAAACCCACCAATGCTCAACAACAGTATGCAAGAAAAATCTAACTCGGTGAAATCAAGTTCTTTCAAAGGCTCTGTGTGATGAATGGTAAGGAAAGGCTTTATGAATCTAAATTAGCAGAGCAGGATTTATATAAAACTATGTATATATGGGCTTATGAAATAATAATGAATGTAACCTTAGCTTAATTTCCTCACTGATGTACGATGGGTGTACATGTATTGCTCAAGAAAGTTGCAAAGTAGAGAACAAATTATTTATAATTATCACTGGAGGCAGGCTGAATAAACTCTTATTTTTCCCAATATGCAAACCTTTCTCTACAAGCATTACTTTCAGGACAAAAACTGAAAGGATTGCCGTTAAGAAGCATAAAGAACTCTTTTCTTTATGTCCCAAAAAAATAGAAATGTTTCCTTTTCATGCTGTCTATGTGCATACTAGAATATCTCCTAGTAGTTATTTTTCACTTTTTTCCCCATTTGTGACTCGAATATATTGAATTCAGTATTTTTTTGTCTCTTCTTGCAAAAATTATTTTCAAATGAGTTGTGGACTAAATTGCTTGTTTAAATAGTGCCGTAGAATACGTATTTTCTAGTCTTAATATGGAAACTATTTTGCAAATCATTTCAGTATCTCAATGCCTAAGACTTTAGTAATTCAATAAAATTTGAGACAATACTTGAGGATTGCTCAAGAACAATTAAAGTCTATTGCTATATTTGTTTTTCCTGCCCACATCTCAAGAATCTTAGAGCATCAGTTGCTTTCTTTATCTGTTCTAAATGACTGAACAGCTCCTATATTTGTATTAGCAAATACAGTTTCTGTGGCCAGTATGTACCAAATGCTATTTTAACCTCCACTTCAGCAAAGCTGTAACTAACACTGTGTGTTGACAAGCTGTTTAAAAGTGGATGGGTTCTAGTTTAGTTGGGCTTGTAGGGAACCCTTTTGGAAGTGTTATTAACAAGAATTAATTGAGAATGTGTTTTGTATACTGTAGAGATATTTTATTTTCCTAAGGGGCTGGAGAATTACTGCCACATGTTAAGATTTCAAGAAATTGAGAAGATGCTGTTTGTCCCCACATGGTGTGTAGCTTATGATGTTGTTTCAGTCTTTGATGGAGAAGTCAGTCTGTAGTTGTTCGTTTTCTTTTCCTTTTGATCTCCGTCTTTGTAAAGTTAAAGTTCTTTTATCTTCCACACCATCACTGTAAAAATTTGAGCCACTAGCCTAGTCTATATCCATATTTGTCTTTCAAGTAATAAATTTCCGCTGAAGGAGATTTCCCTGAGCTTTGAGAATCTCTTGTTGCTGCTTTTCTTATCCCTTATTCTATTGTGAGGCATCTCATTCTCCTGGCAGAAAATGCTTTTAAGAAGAGTCAGATCAGAAGACTTGCCTTTCTCCCTTCCTCTGCAGCTCATGTTAAGCCTGTATCTGTATTCTCAAGCTGGGATCCCTGGCTGCATTTTTATTATCCTGGCTGCTTAGGCTCTCATCCTGCATGTGGGTGTCTGTGAGTTTGTATGAAGCTCCTTAATGCCATTGTCTGCGCATTGTCACTTCCAGGGTTAGACTGTAGCAGTGGTGGGCTGGCCTGCCTAACAAGGAATAAAGTCAAATACTTGAGACACTTGATACGTGACTGTGAATGCTTCAAGTTGGATGAGGTTGAATTTCCTTTTATATTCCAGGCGGATACTTCACAGGGATTTGAAAGCCAAGAATATATTTTTGAAAAATAATCTTCTGAAAATTGGTGAGATTTCCATACTTCTTAAAGATACATTTTAGTATGATAGAACAGTCCAGCAGACATTTTGTCAGTAAGGAGATTTAAATAAAGTCATGTCTGATACAGGATTTTGATTTGTGATCAAACATTTATTTGACAGTCAGACAGGAACAGGGACCTGGAGAGGCAGTGAGATCTCCAGCCCTGAGGGTGCTCCAAAACTTGCCTGGACCTGGACCTGGGCAGCCTCATGTAACTTTGAAATTGGCCTTGCTTTGAGCCAGAGGTTTGAATCAGATGACCTTGTGAGACCTCTTCAAACCTGCATCGTTCTATGATTTTGTGGTGTTTTTATTTTGAAGAGTTTTTCCATATTTTAAAATACTGATAGTTTTTTTTTGGATGTACAGTCATTGTATCATGTCTAATGTCTAAAGTCTAACAATAAACACAAAGAGTTCATATGACTAGATACAGATTTATATGAATAGATTATTGTTTCTGCTGTTACTTTTAGGGGACTTTGGAGTTTCTCGTCTTTTGATGGGTTCATGTGATCTGGCAACTACATTTACTGGGACACCATACTACATGAGTCCAGAAGCACTGAAGCACCAGGGATATAACACAAAATCTGACATTTGGTGAGTAGTCAGCATGCAATTTCAGTTGGATTAGGCATTTATTTTCTTTAGCATTTGACGTTATTTAAGAAACTCCTTTTTTTTTTTAAAAAAAAAATGGCACTCTCAGTAGGGTGCTCACAGTACTCCACTGAAAGTATTCCAGGACATTTGTATCGTGTGTTGCAATTTGAAGGTTTGCTCTTTGTGTTAAGAAGCATGTAGTTTGCTATTATTCTGGGTTATCTGGGACTTCCTCAAAGGAGAGTAAGATTCAGGTCCAGTCTCTGCCATGACACAGAATGATTGTAGACCAATTTCAGGTTTGCTAGGAAAGAGGAAATCTTCTTCATTCTTATATTGAGATAGATGAATGGAAAGAAGCAACTTTCTGTGAAGCTTCTAAGTGGA